CAGTGCCGCCTAACAGTTCCAATCAGTGCTTCCTATCAGTGCTGCCTATCAGTGCCCATCAGTGCCACCTATCAGTGCCATATATGAGTGCTGCCTTTCAGTGCCCATCAGTGCAGCCTCATTAGCGCACATCAGTGAAGGCGAAAAATAACCTATTTACAAAATTTTAGAACAGAAACTAAGAAAAAAATGTTAAGTCTTTTTAGTTTGTTTAGCAAAAAATAAAAAACCCCAGTGGTGAACAAATACCACCAAAAGAAAGCTCTGTCTAAAAAAAATGATAACATTTTTGTTTTGAGTACAGTGTTGCATGACTGCATAATTTCATTTAAAGTGCGACAGCACTGAAAGGTGAAAATTGGCCTGGGCAGGAAGGGCCTAAAAGTGCCCAGTAGGCAAGTGGTTAAAATAGAAATGAAAGTCAAAACGTTTTTGTATACACATAAAAAAATGTTATAAATCCCATGTTTTCCCTTTTTTATAAGAGATCACATACCCTCTGTTCTCAGCTGCATAAGGAGCTAGGGGAGGAGAAACAGCATCACACTGATCTTACCAATGAAGAATGGCTGTGTGGGTGGGGGGAGGCATGTCAGCACAATCCTGATCATTGGATTAGTTCCCAGTACAGCCAAAAAACTGACCACGTTTTGCTCTCATGCTTAGTGTGGTCAGATTTTATTAGGAAAGCAGGGGAACAGGGATTTCACACAAAGGAAGAAATACAAAGAGAACAGGATACTTTTTTTTTATACAAGCACACAGTACAGCAGGCACATATCAGGAATGTGAAATGTTGGGTTTCCATATTCTCTAAAGGATTGGCATATGAGCACTAAAAACAGATTTTATTGTCTCTTAGTGCTAGCCCTCTTTACTCCAGCCTGCCGCTGAGCAAGAGCTTAGTGCGGTGTCTTTTTTACAGTGAAAAATAAAAACAAGAAGTCAATGATCTGATGGTATAAAAGGAAAAACATTAATGCAGTGCGTTTCTAATTCTGTATGCTCACCCTCCTGCCACACTAGCTGCTTGGTAAAAAAGAGCCACAAAAACACTCTAAAGAAGAAAATTCTGGTTTAATCTTCAGTCGATCCTGAATACTGCGGCCAGACTCATCCACCTTACCAACCGCTCCGTATCCGCCACCCCCCTCTGCCAATCCCTCCACTGGCTTCCAATTGCCCAATGGATCAAATTCAAAATGCTAACACTGACGTACAAAGCTGTCCATAATACTGCCCCAAGCTACATCACAGACCTAATATCCAAATACCACCCAAAACGCACTCTCCATTCCTCACAAGACCTCCTTCTCTCTAGTTCTCTGGTTTCCTCCTCCCATGCCCGCCTCCAGGACTTCTCCAGGGCTTCCCCCATCCTCTGGAACTCCCTACCCCAATCCATCAGACTTTCACCTACTCTCCTCTCGGTGCACCCTGAAAACCCACCTCTTCAGGGAAGCCTACCCCGCCCTCAGCTAATTGCCGATCTCCTCCACTCTTCCTACCACTCCATCCCCCACAGCTATTTCCTCCTGTACCACTCTCCCCTCCCTCCTAGATTGTAAGCTCCAAGGAGCAGGGCCCTTAAACCCCTCGTGTATCGCATTGTATTGTTATTGTACTGTCTCGTGTATTGTCTCCCATTGTAATGTACAGCGCTGAGCGAACTGTTGGCGCTATATAAATACTGTATAATAATAATAATAATAATCCTCCTTTGACAGTTATGTCTCCAAATGCCAAATCATAGATCATGTGATCTCTCTTAGCCGACAGAGAGGATCAGACAGAACTTTTGGCTGACATGCTCTGTCAGATTATGAGTGCAAAATATGCTGCTACTCTGCATAGAAAGCAATCTGCATCCAGAGTTTATTGCAAAAGTTTAAATGAACAAGTTGAGGTTAGAAGCTGATTGACTACCATGCAAAGCTGCACCAGATTCTGAGTGCTCCAGTTTTAGTAAATCTCACTCTATGTGTCTCAGAAGTATTTTGCTCTTCTTTTATCATGTGTGTATTTGGTGTGATAAGACGGGCAGGTCAGAGAGAGAGGGCCTTGTAATATGTCAACTGTAATCTGCCTAAATCTCATCAAATTATTTGGCACAGTGTAATAAATAGGAGGAGATCCAGGGCCTGGATCAGTAAAAATCTGTATCTGAATCACTCTTCACTCACAGGACTGGACTGCAGGATTGTTTTACCATATATTCAAAGCATGCTGATGCTGAAACAAAATTTAATTTAATGATCAGATTGTTTAGCTTCATGCAGTGTGTGAGGAAAGCCCAAATCTGTATTTAAAAGTGAACATCAGGCAAAAAAAAAAAAAAACTAAATTAAATTTAAAAAAATTTCCTTAATGGCCACAAAGGGTATAAATCTACCTTCTCTGCTTCATATACCTTTGCAAACCCAGATATTCCACCTTGTAAATGTAGTGGTGACATCATTGCCATATTTGTTTAGCCTGGACTTAAAGTAGTTGTAAAGGCTGAAGGATTATTTACTTTAATACATTCTCTGCTTTAAAGGATAAGTTCACCTTTGGGAACATGTTACATGTTCCACCTATTTTTATGGTGGAAAATATAACATGTTCTTAGTGTTGCAGCTGCTGCCCAATCCCCCCCCCCCCCCATGACAGCAGTACAGGGAGAAGTTCCTCATACTAGCTGTCACTTTTTAAAAACAGTGCAGCTGCACAGGGCTCCGTCCCACACGATCTCATCTTCATTTACAGTGTTCTGAATGAACTACAAGTCCTGACAGCCTTAGCAGCTGTTGGCTTGTAGTACATCCTGTACAGGCAAGCAGATATACTGACAGGTCTGCAGGAGACCTGCATGGCACCAGTGATCTGCTGATCACTGGTGAAATGCCTTACAGGCTCCTGCAACCAAAATAATAAATGCACATTTTTTTACCTGCAAAAAAATGTGCATTTATTATTTTGGGTCAAAAGGTGAACTTATCCTTTTATGGTAAAAAACCTTACAGCAGCTATGCCCCCAGCCCCCTCACTAATACTTACCTGAGTCTGTATAGATCTAGCGCTGTGCCCAGCTTCAGTTCTTCTCTCCCCTCTCGTTGCTTTCACAAGGTTGACTGGGAACAGCAGAAGTCATTGCCTCCTGATGCTGTCAGTCAAATCATGGGGGGGGGGGGGGGGGGACACAGGGGGCGGAGTTGAGCCATGCTGCATGTGTCAATAGATGCAAACAGCCAGCTCAGGATCGAAACTGCACATTTTCCACCATAGGAAGCAGCTTCCTATGGTGGCACAAGGAGAAAAGGAGGAGCCAGCAGCACTGGTGGGGGATCCCAGAAGAGGAGGTTTGAGGCTGCTCTGTGCAAAACCATTGCACAGAGCAGGTACATGATATAACATTTGTGTAACCTTGAATTAGTGAAGCGCTAAAATAATAAATCTATATACATATTAAAGTGCCATCAATAAATGATAGTGCTTAGTAAACAATAATAATTAGACCTTTCTAAAGATCAATGAAACACTATAAACAATATATAACTGATTGGCATTAAAAGCTCCCAGCGATGTAAATTAAACTAATCCTTCCATATAAATTAGTGATACATAATATAATCCGTGATAAAAAAAATATATATATCTCCAATTAATTCATACTTCAAATCAAAAGAGTGATGAATAATTTAAGTGAAAAATATATATCCTAATTAATTCATAAAAAATCATTAGATATATTAATCTTTGTGATTAATACACGTATACTTTCAATGTGCATATACAAAAAATATATAACCAAAAGTCCATGCAGGTGTAACTTGTGACAAAACGAACAGTGATCTTCACTTCTAGTGCTCAAAAGAATCCTCAAATGGCAGCAATGCCTGCTCACCTCCCCACCTTGACCCACACAGGGCCACAAGGCTATAGCTCTCCTCAAAGGCAATCCTTTAATCCAGGCAGCTCAGCAAGGGATCACAGGACTTCCACTCCACCTCCTCTCAAACGTCATATAGGACACAAACAGAACTTCCCATAGTGTAATACTGTTTAATTGGACACTTAGTACAACATATTGTTTCCACTCACATTTGTTTCCTGTTACAAAACGCTTTCCACCTCATTCCATGGGTGTATTCACATGCAGGAAGGGAAACCAATATGGCCGCTGCGTCCGGACATGCGTCCCCACGTGACCGGAAGTGACGTATCTCTAAACTGGGAATGGCGTTCCGACGCGTTGCGTCACGACTTCATTAGGGTTAACCCTGATATATATATATTTTTTGTATATGCACATTGAAAGTATACGTGTATTAATCACAAAGATTAGTATATCTAATGATTTTTTATGAATTAATTAGGATATATATTTTTCACTTAAATTATTCATCACTCTTTTGATTTGAAGTATGAATTAATTGGAGATATATATATTTTTTATCACGGATTATATTATGTATCACTAATTTATATGGAAGGATTAGTTTAATTTACATCACTGGGAGCTTTTAATGCCAAACAGTTATATATTGTTTATAGTGTTTCATTGATCTTTAGAAAGGTCTAATTATTATTGTTTACTAAGCACTATCATTTATTGATGGCACTTTAATATGTATATAGATTTATTATTTTAGCGCTTCACTAATTCAAGGTTACACAATTGGTTACTTAATGGTTTAAGGCAGAGTGACAGCAGCTGTTAGTTTAGGGACCTTACCTGTATTAAGCGCAGGAGGATACTTCCATTTTACATGATATAACATGTTTGTTATTAAAAAAAACAAACAATCACTTTTAGATTTAGAAGAAACCATAAGAAAGACTGACTAAACCGTAGACGGTAGCGGACCAACTACAAGGGTCAAGGTCTCTTAATTCAAAATGATGTAGAAATCATAACACAACAATTATAACTGAACCTATTAAAGTTGCCATTTTCTTCACAAACCTGTTACAAGAGAAAGTGAATTATTTCAGAGCTCGGGAACTGTCAGCAGTACCTTGTACTCTTCAAAGTCTTTGTCATTGAGTATATTCTCTTTCTCCAGTTCCACAAGTTGTTCAGGAGTTGGTTCAGTAGGTAAAGGATCTACTGAAGCTTCTTCATACAGGGGGAGTCCAGAAATAAAAATCTCTTTCCACTCTCGCATAACTTTGTTGGGTATCAACCTGAAGAAGACAAGTCTTTTAGTGTTTATACACACCGAGCAGTCACTGAACACTTCTAGGGAATATCTTTATTATCTTTTGCGCCAGACTTTTCAAAGAACATGCTGACATTATTGTAATATCTTACTTTACAATACTACTAAGCTGAGTATTTATAAATCAAAGACACCAAAAGCCAAAAAAGCACACATTCACTGAGAAAAAGCTCTCACCTGTTCGTTAATTCTCTGTATTTCCCATTCTTTGTCACCAGATCCACAATCTGGTTCACTATTTCCTGGCAAATGTCATAGTGCTTCTTGTATCGTGCTTGCGCTCGTTCTGCTGCTATCTGGTCATGTAGTTCCTGAACCTTCCGCCTTTGTTCCTCGGCATCCAGCTTGGCTTGATGCAGCAAGGCCTGTAACAGTACACAGGTATACACTATAATTATACAACATTTAATTATTATACAACAAGCTTGGCTGAGTTGCTCATTCTTACTTTACTGATAGAAAAGTAGATTTCTTATTATGAATAGCAGGTGATGGGAGATTTTGAATTAGCGAATTAATCAGAAATTTTCTTTTTTTTTTTTTAGATAATGAGAACTTCAAACTCTTTTTTCTTCTCAATATCACTTGGTTGGTATCTCCTACATTGTCAGATTATTGAATGAATGCTTAGATTGGACAACATTGCTTCTGACATCTGTCATTGAGTGTCCATACAGGTATCAATGCTCTTTTCATTAAACAGGTATCAGATATTAGAGCTATGACGGTCACTGCTAGGACCTGTGTTGAGCTTTTGTTTGCTTCAAGCGGGTTTTGCATTCCTATACAAATCTAAGGGAAAGCAATACCCCACTTGAAGAATGTCAAATGCAGATCAGAATGAGGCCAAATGCATGTCAAATGCACCTGTCATGAAATTCTGAAAAATTTTAGAGCTGGCTGAAACTGATGTCAAACTAGTGCTTATAATTATTGACAGCCAGCATTAAAAGTGGCTTAATAAGGCAGAAATGTATAGGAAAATATATATGTCTAGAAACAGAAAGAAGGCTAGAACAGTGAAGCAAAACTTGGTGACCTAGGGATCCCTTGAAAAAAAGAAGAAAATACTTCATATTACTACTTTCTTGTATGACATCCACATTTTCTTTAAAGAAGAACTCTGGGAAAGGCAAAACAATCTCCCATTAGTACACCCCCCTACACAAAACACTAAACAGTCAAAAAAAATTTGAAAATCCTTACCATTTAGAAGAAAAATCTAATTGAATTTTCATGACCTCATCTCTGTAATTCAAAAGATAACAGCATTTGCTCTGCTGAGGAGGAGGTGTAACAGCAGGAATTACATCGTATCCTCTCCTCTCTCTGCAGTAAAAGGAAACTACAGTTCCCATCAACACAGGGAATTGTAGTGAATGTGGGCGAGTACACTAGGCCTGTACATGTTGAATGCATCTGAGAGCCTCGGTCTGCCAACCACTGCAAGTGGGATTGAATTACATCACTTCTTCCTGGAGAAGGAACTACAGAAGGGGTTAGCTAGGCTAGGGGAATAGGAGACATAGCAGCCACTGGTCTTACAAACAGGAAACCAAAAAGAATTATCGGGTTGATATGAAAATGAATAGGCTATTTCAGAGCAAGTACTGAGTGAACCAGAAGATGGATGACATATTCAGTGAAGGTAAGAAATCAGCAACAAGAACATGTAAAGAATTTTTTGCCCGGAGTTATGTTTTAAAATGAGATGGAGAATTTTAGAACCTTTAACTACTTCCCGGCCAGAGAAATACCCATACGCCGCTGGACTTTCGTGCTTATACTGGGATGATGCCTGCAACCGCAGGCATCACTCCGTTATTGTTTTTTAGAGCCAGTGTTTGGCTTTCTTCTAATAGCAATCGGAGTGGCTAACTAGCTGCTCGCTTGCTTTTAGAAGCAGCGGTAGGGGATGTCCCTCCCTCCTGCTGCCTTCCGTGGCTTACTCGGAAGTAAACGGCGCATTTTATTAAAAAATAAAAGCATTCAAAAACACATATCTTGGTGTTTTTTAATGCTTTTAAGTGCAGAAGATGGATCTCTCTCTAAAGAGTACCTGTCACAAGGATGTTTACATTTCTTGTGACAGCAATAAAAGTGTTAAAAAAATTAAAGCAACAGTATGCAAATAAAAAAATAAATAAATGAATAATAAAAAAAAATTTTGAGTGCCCCCATCCTCCCGCACAGAGGTGAATGAATGCGCAGGTCAAGCAAGCACGCAAACAGCAATCGCCCCACACGTGTGAGGTATCAATGCGAACATCAGATCATGGGCGGTATTTCTAGCACAAGAACTCCTCTGTAAATCTAAAGTAGTAACCTGTAAAGGCTTTTAAAGTGTCATGTATGGATAGTAAAATTTAAATAGATTGTCACCGTTGCACGGGCACACGCAATTTTAAAGCATGACATGTTTGGTATCTATTTACGCTGCGTAACATCATCTTTTATATTTTACAAATAAATTGTATTATGTATTGTGTTTGTTTGCAATAGAATTTGAAAAGTGTATTTTTTTCCAAAAAATGAGTTTAAAAAACCACTGTGCATATACTGTGTGACATAAAAAATTGCAAAACCCACCAACTTATTCTCAAGGGCCTCTGCCTTAAAAAAAATATATGTTTTGGGGTACTGATTGTTACATGTGAACAAAAAGTGCCAGAACGGACTGGCCGGGGAAAAGCCCGGACTGAAGGTGGTTAATAGTGGTGCTTTGTACACAGCTGTTTAGTCTTACTGCACAAATTAACTGCAGTTTAGCCACTAGTTACATTAAAATAATCCTTTTCATGGTTTCTGTATTGATAAGCAAACTAAAACAATATTAGGGGTCAACTTTTGATGTCTTCAAAAGTAAAACGCAAAGCACACCTATGCTACAAAGCAACCAAATTGATGTACAGTGTGGAACAGAAGTATTTGAACTCCCTGCGATTTTGCAAGTTCTCCCACTTAGAAATCATGGAGGGGTCTGAAATTCACATTGTAGGTGCATTCCCACTCTGAGAGACAGAATTAAAAAAAAAATTCAGGAAATCACATTGTATGATTTTTAAAGAATTTATTTGTCTTGCACTGCTGAACATAAGTATTTGAACACCTGAGAAAATCAGTGTTAATATTTGGTACAGAAGCCTTTGTTTGCAATTACAGAGGTCAAACGTTTCCTGTAGTTCTTGACCAGGTTTGCACACACTGCAACAGGGATTTTGGCCCACTCCTCCACACAGATCTCCTCTAGATCTGTCAGGTTTCGGGGCTGTCGCTGATCAACACGGAGTTTCAGCTCTCTCCAAAGATGTTCTATTGGATTTAGGTCTGGAGACTGGCTAGGCCACTCCAGAACCTTGATATGCTTCTTACGGAGCCACTCCTTGGTTATCCTGGCTGTGTGCTTCGGGTCGTTGTCATGTTGGAAGACCCAGCCACGACCCATCTTCAATGCTCTGACTGAGGGAAGGAGGTTGTTGCTCAAAATCTCACAATAAATGGCCCCATTCATCCTCTCTTCTTAATACAGTGCAGTTGTCCTGTCCCCTTGCAGAAAAGCACCCCCAAAGCATGATGTTGCCACCCCCATGCTTCACAGTAGGGATGGTGTTCTTGGGATGCAACTCATCCTTCTTTTTTCTCCAAACAGCGCTGAGCAAACCCTTTGGCGCTATATAAACTCGTAGTAATAATAATAATAATAAACACAACGAGTGAAGTTTAGACCAAAAATTTCTACTTTGGTCTCATCTGACCACATGACTTTCTCCCATGCCTCCTCTGGATCATCCAGATGGTCATTGGCAAGCTTCAGGCGGGCCTGGACATGTGATGACTTGAGCAGGGGAACCTTCTGTGCAATGCATAATTTGAAACCATGACGGCGTAGTGTTCTACCGACAGTGACCTTTGAAACTGTGGTCCCAGCTCTCTTCATGTCATTGACCAGCTCCTCCCTTGTAGTTCTGGGCTGATTCCTCACCTTTCTTATCATCAGTGATACCCCACGAGGTGAGATCTTGCATGGAGCCCCAGTCCGAGGGAGACTGACAGTCGTCTTTAGCCTCTTCCATTTTCTAACAATTGCTCCAACAGGTGATCTATTTTCACCAAGCTGCTTGGCAATTGCCCCCGTAGCCCTTTCCAGCTTTGTGGAGGTCCACAATTTTGTCTCTGGTGTCTTTTGACAGCTCTTTCGTCTTGCCCATGGTAGTAGTTGGCGTCTGACTGACTGCGGAGTGGACAGGTGTCTTTAAAGAGCTCAGTGCTACTAAGTTAGATTAATGAGTGGAGTAGAGGTGGACTTTTAAAGGCACAGTAACAGGTCTTTGAGAGCCAGAATTCTTGCTGTTTCTTAGGTGTTCAAATACTTATGTTCAGCAGTGCAAGACAAATAAATTCTTTAAAAATCATACAATGGGATTTCCTGAATTTTTTTTTTAAATTCTGTCTCTCAGAGTGGGAATGCACCTACAATGTGAATTTCAGACCCCTCCATGATTTCTAAGTGGGAGAACTTGCAAAATCGCAGGGTGTTCAAATGCTTCTGTTCCTCACTGTATAGTAGGCACACTATGACACTTTATTGTACCTTTGTGTTTCTGGTCAACACAATCTTTGTTGTAACAGTTTCCCCCCCCCCAAAATCATAGAAAACATATTAACTTTCTGAACTCGATAATTGCAAATGGCTAGGCAGACCCCTCATCCCCATCAAATATAAGCCAATAAAGGAAATATGAGTCACTTTCATACCGCTTCTCTATCAAGCGCCTCCTGGAAATCCTTCTCACAGCGTTCCTGATACTGCTTCTCTCTAAAGATTCTGTTCTGTCTTATAATTTCCTTTTCATGGCGATTGTGCATGAGCTGGACAGCGATTCTCCGCTCCTGCTGAGATTGTCTCATCAAACGGTTAATAAGTTGTTCCTCCCGAAATGCTTCCTGTAAAGAGGAATACATCATGACTATTCTGGCAGCAATGTGCTTATTTGATTTTCCAGTACACGCCATTGCATGCTGCTCAACATAATAGACTACAATGTGCTATGGAGGCAGTATTGTAACATCCCTAACAGCAAACCTGGTGTGAGGTATAAACATTGAACTTAGTTTGTCTAATGAAGAAGAGTTTAGTTTAATTTGAAATTATCACATTTAAAGCAGAACTCCATGAAAATGTTTTTGTTCCCATGCAGTAGGGCTGTGCCCTCACTGCATACTGCAGGTTGACTGCTTGTTTTGTCCAGGGGCGCACAGAAAAGCTATACTTACCCAGTCTTTCGATCCTCCAAAAAAAAAAACCCACATGGAGTGTTCCTGCCATCCTCACATCTAGAGCGCAGGCACAGCCCCACTGCATGGGGAATTCTTTTTTCCCCGGAGTTCAGCTTTAAGGTGTACATTAGTTTTGTTGGCATCAATACTGTTAGTCTTTTACAATTGCACTGCTATAAGGTCTGGCTGAGTAAGTCCTCATGCACACGGGGTGTTTTGATAACGCTGGTAACGTTAACTGTGTAAAGTCACGTTAGAAACGTGTGTTTTTCAGCTTTTAGCGTTTTTGCATTAGCGTTTAGCGGCGTTTTGCCGCGATTAGAGGCGTCTTCCAGCATTTTTCCACGTTTGCGTTTTTTAGCGGTTAAAAAAAAAAATAAAAAATTGGGGGGGTCAATAAAAGTCCAAAAATGCCGGTTTGTGGCGTTTTACCACATTTTTCAGCGTTAGAGTGTTTTTACAGATAAAAAAACTCCTCTAGATACCCACTAGTTCTGGGTTTTTTCTCCAGCCAAAAAATGTCCCAGCTATAAAATGTTGATTACAGTCTATGTGTGCATGGTCACATAGGATAACATGCTGGGTTTACTGGCTTTAGAAAAATGTCAAAAGCCAAAAACAGCGGCTGTAAAAACGTCAAGCGTGCATGAGGACTAAAAGCTCTGAGATGTATCATGCTCAGCTGATTTTCAGTATTATAGCGCATTCAATTGAAAATGTTAAGAAGGCTTAAGGGCCCGTGTATAAAATAAACCTGTGAAAGACTCAAAAGCAGATAGCTGATGTCAGTTGATCCCAAATTCAATCCTCAAGTATTCAACTCATGTTTTCAGGATTTCCTACACCATGTGCAGGTGCTTTAAATCAATGTCAAAGGCTTGATATTTTGGATAGCTACTTTATCAAAGGGAAATTCCCAAAACATGACTTGTTGGTACTATGTTGGTTCCATGTTGGGGTACCTAAGAACTAAAACTGGGAACCACTGGACTACACAAAACTAAACTTTGATTTGATTGTCAATGACTGCGCTTCCACTCAGAGAAGTTATTATTTGCATAAGCACTGGAACACATCTCCCCCATTCGTTTTCCGTACACACACACACATGTACACACACACACGTACACACACACACAACATGGCAGTGTCCGAGTCGGGAGACGGGTCCAGGCAACAGATTTGAGTGTTATGAGTGTGGGGGACGTGCCTATTCACAGCACTTCAAAGAGAAGATGTTTCAGGGGTGCTCTGGACTGAGTTGAAATGGCTGATCAACAAATGTCTTGAAAGCTTATTTCCTTAGCTGTCTGTTTACATTTCTAATCTAGAGGCGGTTTCCAGAGCTTTACTTCAAGTCTGCAAACTCATGTTACAAGTCTGGAAATTTAAAAAAAAAAACTGACCCCAGAGGAATGTATATGTTGTATAGGTACAATATTATGCTATGAGCATCTAATTTATCAGGATTAAGTGTACCCAACCAAATTTGAGAGAACCTAGGATGGTTGACTGCAATCCCTGGTCTCACCCCAATTAATGTAGTATTATATAGTCTTATGTAAAGAGTCTTCTATTTGGATTTTCAATATTATTGCTCCTGTTGTGGTATGATTATGGTTGCAGAATTTTTTGATACTGTACTCTTTTTGTACCACTGTATTATGCTGAAATCGGGCCATGAGGCTGACCTACGTGAATATTGTGATAAGCATTCTTTACATAATGAACACAGTGAAGTGAAATGATGTTTCTTTTGGGTGACTGTATACACTTCACTTCCTTGTCTTTCTTTTTTGTTCAATAAACTTCTTTCTGATTTAACAAAAAAAATATCTAATCTACTTACAAACCAGATGATTGCTGACTGGTCGTTGCATGTCTCTACCCCCTGTGCAATGCTATTTGTCCAACTGAATAAGGACCCTTGTTGCAGTTGGAATATAATATGTCATTACCTCCTGTGACCCATGAGCGACGAGTTGCTCTATTAGGACTCTGCGCCTTCTTTTTTCCCGCTGCTCACGTGCCATGGTATCCTCTTCAAGCCGTTTCTGAATTTTTCTTACATAATCATCAGTAGATTCTATTTTGACAACACCACTGCCAATGCTGCCATTTGACTTTATTCTTTGCAATGTGGGACTCCTAAAAGAAAGTTTAATATTTTATCACCTGGATATTTTTTTCAGTCAATTCAAAGAGTCTCTTTTAAAGTCCACCTCCATGTTAGGCCCCCTTGCCCCCAAAAACCCCCTTGGACTTAGAGCAACAAGATCCTCCCCTTCTTCCACGGTCCTCATTTCATCTCCTGATAGAACAGAGCCTTGGGGCAAGCTGGACATGTTCAGTTTGGTGTGCATTGCTAGAGAGTTTTTTCTTTTTCTTGGGAGAGTGCATGTGATCAGTACAGCGCCAAACATTGCTGTCCAAACAGAGGGTCAGGGGTTATGCAATCTCATAGGGCAGTGAGAGGAGACTGAAAACTCCTACTACAAGCTTTAACCAGTGCTCAGCTGAACACTGATAGAAATCACAAGACTGCTATAATTGCTGATGACAAAAGGTATTTAGCAGTTTAAATTTACTAAAATATTAGCATTTCCATGTTATGTGTTCTGTGGAAGACCAGATATAGTGAATGCAGGGCCCTGGGTTTAGTAACACTTTAATTTGATTGTAAAGGCACAGTTTTATTTTTCAAAAAGAGGAAACATGTTACACTTACCTACTCTGTGTAATGATTTTACACAAAGCAACCCTGATCCTTCTCTTCTTGGATCCCAGCCAGGGATCCTGGCTCCTCCCTCCTGCCATGTGCCCTCATAGCAAGCCGCTTGGTATGGGGGTTCTCATGTGGGCTCACCCCCGAGCTGACCCTGTGTGTCTTATGGCTTGGTCACAGGCTGTGACTGACAGCAGCAGGAGCCAATGGCTTCTGCTGATGTGTCTGAGCCAATAAGGACAGAGAGAGCCAAGAGAGCCTCTGCTGTTGTGCACATTGCTGCATCGAGATTGGGCTCAGATGAGTATGGGGGGTTGCTTGTAGGTTTTTTACCTTAATGCATTAAATGCATTAAGGGAAAAAAAACCTTCTGCCTTTAGAACCACTTTGAAAGGAAGGGAAAGAGAGAATACATGGAAGTCTACTGAAGGGAATAGAAGTTAACTGCAACCAGTATAAAAAAAAGGTAGTGACATTTGTTGGAGTGAGCAATCCCCACTCACTCAACTCCAGATACCAGAAGTTTTCCTTCCTTCGAGTTTAAGAACAGGCGTCAGAGTGGCCATATTTTATGGAAGATATCCAAGATATTTTTTGTGATAGAATACATTTTTCCATCCTCTGTATGTTTTCCACATTATTAAGCCACATATGGATGGAGGGAGTCTTTTCACAAGCAGGCAGGGATGCGTTTATAAGCTGTCTAATTCTCAACTTTCAAAATATAAAGAGTGGAATTGTGGTGGAGGAGAAAAAAGGAAGGATCCAACGGAATCTAGAAATCTGTGTTTCTGGGAGATTAGTCTAACATTCTCCAGAGCTCTGAGAGTTTGGGCCATTTCCAGAAAATATGAAGCAGAGACCTAGTTCACTTCTATGGATGAGTCTACACTCTTAACCCAAATGGAGTACATAGTAATCCATATTAATCTATAGTAGTGCATGGGTGTCACAACTGGTCCTTCCACTGACACCAGTATTGGGAAAATTTTCTTTAATTAATATCAGTGTTGGGGAACCATTCCTTCCACTAACACCAATGTTGGGGCACTATTCCTCTCAATGATACCAACAATAGGGCGCTATTTCTTCTACTGACACCAATGATTGGGCACAATTTCTGCAGCATTTTCCACTCCAACTGGTTACAGTCCAGCCCCCCTAAAGTCAGAAGACCAGAAAACTGGCCCTTTATTCACAAAGTTTGGAGACCCCTCTTTTAAATGCCCCCAATATGTGAAATTAAAAGTGAACAAAATGCAACTGTAAACAAAGTATCTAAGAAAAAACCTTTCAATTAGTTCCAAATCATAAAATAAGAGTCTACCACATATCTTAGTATATAACTTAGGACTAATTTAAAGCTTTTTTAAAGAAAATTTTTTTATGGTTTCATTTTTTTCACTATTAATTTCACATATTGGGTGCATTTGTTTTATTTTAATCTTTATTTATCCTTAATCCATATACAAGCAGGAAGTACCCTACAGTTACAAATCCCCATACAATCATTAACCTAAATCACAAAACATATAACAATTCATATATTGGGTGCATTTAAAACCTATGCACTTTTAGAGAGTAGTGCCACCTTGAGTTTGTATATTTTTGTCCTTTTCAGACACCGTTTGGAATTGATTCATTTTTTTAAAGGGGCATTTTTGTATGACCACTTATTGTATATATATTTTCACAACTGATATGACAGTTTGAGTTTATTTCACATTTTGGGTGTGGTGTAATTGGTTGTTAGACATCTCAAACGCTGTTGGAGATCAAGGAGTGCTGCCACAGAACTGATTGCTATGCATTTTATAAAAATGCAGCCTTTTACCAACTATAATGTCAGGAAGAGGAGGTATTGACATTGTACACACATATATTAATAACTGTGATACTATTAACTAAAGTAGTGTTCATTCAATTATATTCATATAATAAATATTTAGGGGTTGATGAACAATCTGAAACTTCACAAAGGAGTCAATGAGTTAAAGAGTTTTGGGACCCTTGCTACACAACTTATTCATTTTCAGAACATCTTGTTTATAACAGTCAATGAAACTAAAGGCAGCCATAGATGGATCAAAATTCTTCCTGTCCGGGCCAGACAAATTTCAATCCATGTGTGGGCAGGCTGGTTGTACATAAGTGGATCTATCAATCTGTCAGGTTTCTGCCAAATAAACAGTTTGGCCGGCTATAGCCAGGAACACTGATCACTGTATTCTGATGGCGGGGAAGAAAAAAAAAAAGAATCATGTATGGCCAGCTTAAAGCTTTCCATAAAAAAAAGTCTACTAAATGGACAGTCATGTTTATATATTTCCACAGGTACAGTGCAGTACAGAATGTCGGTATACACTGATGTGAACTCTGTTATCACTGCTTGGTACAACAATCTCAGACTAGCTCACATTCACTTTTCAGACACATCAGGACTTATAAAAAAGAGCCAGCTCTGTCAATCTAGATCAGGATGGTTAGAAATGCTGGACAGTAGAACAGTACAACATCCAGACATACCTTCCATTTGGTGTGATGCTGTTAATCATTGCATCTTTCTTCACTGATTTTTCAAATCTTGCTAGTTCTTGGTAAACCTCCTGAAGAAAAACAAAGTGCTTGTGCTGTTTTATAGTGCCATCTTGTGTTCATATTACCATTGTACATATAATAAATGATTAGATCACAGGATTAAACAAGGCATGAATTACAGAAAAAAAAGCTAAAGAAAGGTTGTGTTGCTGAATCGAAAATTATCTTTTTTATTTGACATTATAGCTACATCATTTTCAGATTATTTTATCGATGCTGAAGAAGAACTGCATTGATCCTTGGTTAAATGCTTTTCACTAGAAAGAGATGCCCTTGCAAGCAGCTTACTGTAAGTAAATGAGGGTAAAAAACCAACACAAACTCACACAGATGCAACAATGTTATAAACATGTGATCTATGGGGTTCACATATTTGCATTACTGTAAAGCACACAGTAACACATGAACTGCAGCACACTGCTTTATGGTGGAATTTGTTTGGAATGGTACCCCAACAAACCTATAATTTCGGCACCACAATGCATAAATGTGAACCAACCATGCATTTTGGTGCACTAGAATAAAAGCACAAGTACCTATTTCGGGCAGTGGTGATGCTTTAACAGGCCATTCAACATGAATGGTTACTGCACTGTGCACTGATCCATAACATAACATACAGTAAAGAAAGTCATATATGGTTTGAATCTCAGCCAGTTCAGCAGGAACCGGCCGAGATTCAAACCATGTATAGGCAGGCTGAATGTATCCAAGTTTTCGACCGATCAACTTGAGTACAACCAGTCTGCTGGATTTTACATGTGATTATCCCTAGCGGCTGTTATAGCCACTAGCAATAATCACTGTTTTCCCCTGGCGAGAGGGCGTGGGGAAGCCCCCAAATAGGAGAACACAATGGCTTGGCAGGAGAGATTCCCCACTCAAAACTATCTGTGTTTAAGGGGGAATCGAGTGAATTTCTTTCTTGCAACCCCTGGTTGCAGGAGAGAAATTTACACCACTTATGGCCTGCCTAACAGACTTAAATATGCACCTGTTTTTAGTTTCTACTGCACTGCAACAGTAACATGTGTGGTTTTGTAGCACAAATAGATGAAACGGGCCTTAGACTTTGTGGAGAATCAGGATAAAACAGTAATACTGGACTAGACTACTCGCTGCTACTACAACGATTGCATGAGTTTTCTGCTCCAGTTCCAAGTGGCAGCCCATCAACAAAATAACCATGGGGATTCGCTCATTTGGCACTGCCACCATACACAGAACACCTAGTATTTTTTCATCGAATACAAGGTGTTTTCTGAGTGGACGAGTTGGCGGGGCAACAAAGGGCAGCCTCTTGGCACTGGTCTTGGAAGACTGCTGCTATCACTGCAGTAGAGGAGAAAACTAGTGGTTAGTACACCTTCCAGAAGGATCACTCAGGTATCAGATATGCATACTTACATTGCTCCAAGCTGGATAAATGTTACTATGTTAAAAAAATAAATCATACCTACACTTTAACTTAAATGTTAATAAATGTACCTCTGCTTCTTTCTTCTTCCTGAGGATCTTCTGTGCTTCTATGGCTCTTAATGTTCGGTTTGCTGGAGGTTTAGGAATCTGCACGATTGCAGCCTGAATTCTGGCCATTATTTCATTTTGTTTCCTTCTTGCTCGGCGAAGCTAGTGAAGGAAAACATAAGCAAACTTATATTACTTTATTTAATTGAAAGTGTATTTCATGGCATTACTCAACTTTAATTCCAAACCTCCCTTTCCCTCAACCAGGGCATTTCTCAGCATTATTCTTTTCTTTCAACCTGTTACTGTAGAGAGAATTAGCTTTTGTTACCTCCCCTAACAACATCACCTGGCTTATACAATTAGGAAAAATAAACCTATGAATGGAAGGGTCAGGTCTTTCAATTATCTGCCTGTCTTTCATTATTAGATCCTATTTCATTTATAGAAGCTGTAGTACCGCCTTCTATGAATGGAAAAGCTATGCAGAAAGGGAGGACATAGTAAGCACTCTTGATGATAGCCTGTGACAGCTTCCACATTTCAATTAACCCCCCCCCCAAAAAAACATATGATCGTGGTGGTGGGGGATGGGGTGGGGCATGGATGGAGAAGGATTTCACCTAACAGAAGAGGCATCAGCAGAAGGGACACATCCTACTAACTGTGAGTTACGTCCCTTGTGCTAATTTGTGTGTTTTTAATTTTGGTGGCACTTAGACTTTTAAGGATAAGTTCACCTTTTGTAAAACAATAATAAATACACATCTTTTTGTATGTGCATGTCTTGTTTTGTCATTATTGCAGCCTGTAAAACCATTGCACCAATGATCAGAAGATCATGGGTGCAGTGTCAGGATCCTGCAGACTCTCAGTTAGCTGAGTTATTGAACTGCAGGAAGAATCAATGAACTATGAGAGTGTTCACCAGCACCCTCACAGTTCATTTAGAACTACAAACCATCTGCTGCAATGGCAGATAGTAGTTATACTTCATTCATTCATTCCCAGAAAACTGTGAATGAATGACACGGATGTGTGGGTGGGGTCCCGCACGGCTGCACTTTTTCTGAACCCGCTGTCACATTGGAGGATCGGGAGGATGTGGGCAAGCGCTCTTTGGTAACATGTTACATGTTACATCCTAAATATGGGTGTAACATGTAACATGCTACCAAAGGTGACCTTATTTTTTAGGTAAAAATATATGTATCACAATACGGAAGTTCTGACATATTTGTCTCATTTAAAAGAATAACAGTATTAACTGAAATTCCATCACTGTGAACTAGAAAACCTATTAACCTCATCTACATTCATGCTACCTTTTCAATATCCTGCATTCTTAGTTCCTCTTGTATCTTCTGGATTTTCTTCAATTCATCGTTTTGTATTTGGGCCGTCTTCTCATCCATCTCTTTTGCTTTTAGATCAAACTGTTCGGTCAGTTGCTGTAAATTTAAATCTGTCTGCCGAGGGACCAATGTTTTAAGTCGCTAGAGGAGAACACATAAAGCAAAATTACACAAATTCTAAAAGGTGTCAAGGTGATCAAATAGAGTACTAGCGTATAGCGTATAGTACTAGAGTATAGAGTACTAGCCTCATGAAGTACACTGCCAATTAAATTTTGAAATGCATTCTAGATTCTGGCAGCAGTAGACAACACAAATTTAAGATTTAGGCAAACTGAGTGAACTGATTTTAGCAGCTTTAGTAATGGTAAATAGCAGTGGTGCATGCATTCAGGTACAGTATTTGTAAAAAATTTTGAAAACCATTTATCATTTTCCTTCCACTTCACAATTACTGTATGTGCCACTTGGTGTTGGTCTATCACATAAAATCCCACTAAAATACATTTACATGTTTGGTTGTAACATGACAAAATGTGGAAAATTTCAAGGGGTATGAATACTTTTTAAGGCACTGTAATGTGACCCCAGTGCAGATGGAAAGGAGCAGGAGAGGGGCAAGCAAAGATGCTGTACATTGGCCTGATGCCCTTTTTATCAACTGATGACATCATTGCACAATGGGTAGAAAGACACTGAAAATTGCACACGTGCAGTAGCTGCCAACACTGCTCTGAAAAATACCCAACTGCATCGGGGACATGGACAAAAGGGGAAGATAGAGAATAGCACGAGCAATCAGTTTTTTTTGCAGAATACAGAGTGAGTATGAACAGCATGTAATACAGCATTTATTGACAGCTTTTAATGATGTTGGTTTAGTGAAACTTTAAGAATCAGCACCCATTGGTGAATAAAGTCACACATCACTGTAACTGTCACACAGGGATCTTGGAGGTGTAGAGTTGCAATTAAGTATTAGGTTTAATAAGTGACATCAGATTTCCTTAAATCTATACTTGTTCTGGGACATCAATTTAGAAAGTATTGGAGTCCAAGCGTGAGCAAGCAGCTAAACTACTAGCATTCATACAGAACGGTGAGCAATGGCAGCCTGTACACTTTTCTAATGCCAGTGAACTTGTAGCATCAAAATAAATAAATAAATATAACCTAATAAAATGAGGCATTAAAAGGTGCTTGTATGTACAATAGGATTTAAGTAAACAGTTTTTTCTTCTGCAAACACAGGCCCACTATAAACAAGATCTGAAACAGGTGGAGCTCTAGCAAGCCAACATCTCAGAATGTAATACTGTTTCCTCATAGGACAACAGAGGGGCACCTACATTGCACTGGAGGATTCCTGGGGTTGTATTAGAGTTCTGATCTCACTACTTTCCATGGCAGCTAAGCAAATCAGCTGACTGGTTGGATAATGAAGCAGCAGAACACTGCTGAGGTCATCATTCTGCTCTTTAACCAAGTACCCAGCAGTGTGGAATGGCAGAGTACCTAACTGACTAATATGGCTATCCCTTAGCTTTTTAGGTCATATGTGCTGCAGTGCATGACATTACATGAAGCTAATATAAAGACAAATTCATGCACTTCTACTATTTGTATGTACAACAATTTCAACTATTTGTATGTGTAATAAAAAATAAGTAAAATAATAAAAATGCAATTATGTTGTATATTTAATACATGACAGGGATTCGGCTGTAATTGCTCTTAATATGTAATGGTAATCGTTACTAGCTTACCTCTCTATACATTTCTGTGCCAATACTCTGCAGCTTTGCTGGGGCGGCTGGTCTCAAGGTCTCCAGAGCAACTCCTGTTAGACCAGCTTTCTTCTTCTTCTGCAAAGCAATGTATAACTGGTAGAGAAGTCTTGTGGCAGCTCCATATTGCTCCGAGATGATATTCTGGGCCACATTCTGGTCAAATGGGATGCCTAATAGTTGCAAAGTGGGCTCCACTCTGGTAAAGTTGTTTAGCTTGGCACTGGCTGCTCTGAGGTGAACAGAAATGTGCAAGTGAATACAACCATACATATGTAGATACTGTGAAAAATGGGGGAAGATTTACTAAAACTGGTGCACTCATAATCTGGTGCACTGTGCATGGTAGCCAATCCGCTTTTACCTTTAGCTTGTTCAATTAAGCTTTGACAGTAAAACCCAAAGCTGATTGGTTTCTGTGCAGAGTTACACCAGATTTTCCACCATGCAGTTTTAGTAAACAACCTTCAATATATTTTAGAACAAGATAATGCTAATGATAATTATTGAATTGATTTACAAAAATGTACAGTTACAAAATGTACAGAAAAATGAAGCAAATTCGAAGTGATTACCCATAAAATCAATCTAACAAGCAATATGGTTGCTATCACAAACAGTTTTATTTGCTACAAGTCTTATAAAATTAGCCATATGAAAAAATAACAGGAAAATATTGAAAACCTGGTATGGCCTATAAAAAACTACTAAATTGCAAGTGCCATGGCTGCCAATTCTTGTGCCAATGGAACCCAATGGCAGCAAAAAATTTGTTTAGTATTCAGTAGGATGATAAAGGAAACTGTTGACAGAGTACCCGTTTGGGAGATTTTCCCTCTCATTTGTTTAAAGGTATGGTGGAATGTCATAAAGCAATGAAATGAGGGAAATTCTACCCAATGGCAACGCATACAGTAATTATGGTTATATAACCTTTCTGTATTTCAGACATATACAGAACACAATGATACAAGGAAGCCTTATGTTAATTAATGAGAATATTTCTCACCCCCCTTAACCATACCCTATCATTGTGATCAAGCCAGGATGGGCTTCTTTGAGCTAGCACCCTGTTTTTCTGTGGAGACATGAGAAGAGCTACGGGTTTGGGATGTTTCAACTACACGGAAGCCTTGTTTAATTTTTATGTACAGATAAAATGGAACTGAGCTCAAAAAGTGAAGGTTTTGCTATGTTATAAGGGTACTTGTCTGTTAATTCACCGGATTTATTTTTATATATATATATATATATATATTTTTTTTTTTATATATATATATGATATATATATATATATATATATATGTATATATATATATATATATATATATAAAAATAAATCCGGTGAATTAACAGACAAGTACCGCTATAAGTATGCTGTCCTACTAATGGATAGCCAACAGCTAGCTAACAAAACTGACAGAAGCAGCGTTGTGTTTTATTCCAAAACTGAATTTACTTCTGTGAATAGTTCTTCACTGAGTTTCTCTTTCTGGCTAGAGTCCCAGTCACATTGATCTATTGAGAGCTCTCTAACTAAGGCTTTGCCTTGCATAGTGATCAGGGCTGCAAACCTGAGAGGATTGTAAAGACTGTTTACTGTGGTTAGGATACCTCTCCGAGTGTTTGACTTGACCTCTCAGGACACTTGAAAAGGTAAAACTGTCCGTCTGGAGATTCCAACTTACTCCTAAACTCCACTGAAGGGGCAGAGGATCGACACCTAGAACAAGGTCTTTTAACTCTTTAGCTCTGTCATCTGCAGGAAAAGCTTTCATTACTGAGCTTCTATTGGACGCCACCTTGTGTAGCTTGAGATTCGATCCTGCAAGCATCTCCCTAGCTCTCTGCAGGAGACTGACTGCTTTGGCTTCAGTACGACAGCATAATAAGACATACTGAAAGATGTTAAATGTGCCTAATCACTACCCTAAAAAAAAAAAATCAACTTTTTGTTTTAAATCCATTCTGAAAAATGGCAGTGTACTTCCTGTACAGCCTCAAATCTGTATATCAGCAACTTTAGATAACCTAAGGAACTGACACTTCTCACTGCTAGCCTCACTGGATTTATTGAGGTCATTACTGTGCTGCTCATTGTTCTCCATTCAGTGCAAGGATCTCCCTGCTTCAGCTTCTTCCCCTTTGTGGATCTGTGCTTTGGCCACCTTTCTTACTTCTTCTTTAATATCATCCACCAGTCATCTGATCACCAGTCATAGTGGAGTGTTGGGGGGTGGTAGCTTTGATATGAGAGCAAATCCCTGTTCCTCAAGATAGCTGCCTCCAGACGGAGAAACGGTGCAGAACAAGGCATGGTGTGTCAGTACTGGGGAAAAGCTCTGCTGCAGGGAGCCTACATACAACACTAATGACTAATTATTGGCCTTCCACTTGTCTTTTTTTTCTGCACAGCTTCCACAGTTTAGATCCTCTTTAAAGTGGTGTCAAGCTAAAACCAGTTAAAATTTTACAGTTCTCTTGAATATTTCCTTCCACATACTGTCATTGTAACGAATTTCACCAAACAAGAAGTGAGATAAAATCTGCACAGGCAGCAAATAAAAATGTTCCTTTCCTGGCACCAATCTGCACCAATCCATGGCAGCATAAATGTGGCGATACGTACCACATGTATAATGCCATGTTGGCACCAGGAAAACAATTTAATTCCTGTCTGTGTTGACTATGGTCTGAACACAATCAGGGACCCCAAGTTAGTAGACTGATAACAGAACTACCATTATGACAATTAATAGGGTGATATCATTTCATTCGTACAGAAAACAAAACTCACTTGCTCTGTGAAAATTGGTCAAAGTCATCTTGTAACTGATATTTGTGCAACACTTCTCCAATAAGATATCCCGTAGCAAACTCTTTGGCAAAACCCTTAGGTTCTAGAAAAAAAAAACTAATTAAAGACCAATTAAAGAGAACAGGTACAAGCAATTAGTGAGGTGCAAGGACTATCTACCAAACAGTGCAAACTCTGTAACTGTGCTAAACTAAAATGGTCCACTCACCTATTCCACGTCACCCACTACATCTAGATTTCACAGAGCTTAGAAGATGTGGCCTGGAGTGTCTGCATCGTGAAGTTTGCATAGTCTTTCTCTTATCACCTATATCATATCATACCGAATCTGACTAATAGTTGTAAAATATATCATGGATCAGGCTTTCTGTATATGAAACACAACAAGGAACAAGCAGTAAAAGGGGTTCTCGGTTTACCATGTGAGCTGCAGCACAGGGAATAACCTGACCTACAGCACACTGGAGTAAGAAAGTGGAAGTTTGGTGTTCATGGTTTGAGTTGAATTTGAAGAATGCCCACGCTCATCTCTAATCACCAGATTAGATTGGTATACCACATCCATGCCTGGATGAACGACTGCAGCCCTGATTAGGTAGACTGTGCTCCCTGTATGCATCTCAATACAATTTCATATAGCAAGGAATTGTGTGCTTTTACAGGGGGGCATGTTGAGGGCATGTGGCCTGGTATGGTTCAGGGGGCACTTGCTTGTCTCCCCTCCCCCTTTACTGGCCTCCTGGGCTGCATGCTTGAATAAGTGTCTGGTGTTGATTTTGGTGGGGGGCCCATAGAATTCTTTTTTCGTGTGGGGTTCCCCTTTAAATTCACACCAGGCCGAAGGGTTTTACATGGATTTTGGGGGGAACCCCACAAATTTTTTTTTTGCATTAGGTCCCCCCTTAAAATTCCTACTGGACCCAAAGGGCCTGGAATGGATTGGGGAGAAGACTCACACGCTGTTTGACTTCTGTCTGGCAGTCACAGAAGCAGAAAACGCATTTAAAAATGTAGAAAAAAATGTAGAAAGTCTGCACTACAAAGGCGCATTGAAAATTGGATCAAAATCACATTGCACTAATGTGAACCTAGCCTTCGGGAATAGATGAATGAGAGCTGCACTCCAATCTCCGGAAGGAGGCAACTAATGATCCTGTGGCATTGTGAGCACTGGCCTAAATTCTGTGTCTGGGTGACTGTATGCGAACTCCCTTATCCTCAGAGGATTTTAATAATTGCTCGGTCTGCAACAGTCCTTTTGAGAATTCAGTTCTGCCCTTATGCTCAGAGACTGTTAAGTAGTGAAGTGTCCTCTGGTTGTTCAGTGCTCTTGGAGTATCCCATGCTTCCATTCACCGCATCCAAGTTTTCTACAAGCAATAAAATGCACAAAAGACGTTCCCTAGACTGTTTAATGAACCAAAGAGAGAAAATACTGTGTGCCTGACCACGTCTGTACTAAAATAGGGGAAGGAACCAGCAATTGCAGCAATTCCCTTTTGGAGGGGATGAGCTACATTTAATTTCATTATCAATATTGAAAATTATTTTATCTGTTGGTACCTATAATACTCTAAACACAGCACATTCCTTGTTCTTTTATTTATTTTAATATCTACCACCTACGGTTTAGGCCAGGGCAAGCTGTAGATGTAGAAGCTGTAGGTATAGTAATTATTAGCAAGAGACCTCTCAGGTCTGAAAGTTATTTCCAGGGTTTCTCTATTCTAAAATGGTTTGGAAAAGTATGTTTAGATGGAGTTAAAAGATATGTTTTTTTTTCTTTTAAGAAATCATACTTTTACCTATGTGGATGCAGTATCAGTGTGATGCTGCACCTGTCCCTCGCCGGCTCTAAGACACCGCTGATCGCTCAGTTCCCAGTGCTCCGTGAGCAGAGAGCTGGAGACTGTCAGTAACTGCTCCCTGCTTTGCCTCCTGCCCCCCGCGCTCACTGGAGCGCTGGGCTGTGAAGGGAGGGAAGTGGCTGGCTCAGGCTGTCAGTGGATCGCTGAGAGGCTGAACCAGCTGCCGGACCAGACATCTGGGTGGATCTTGAATTTAACCCGACTTTAGCCCGCTGTTGGCTGAAAACAAGTCAGAGTGCAAATGTATGGATATTCACACCTATGCGATCCGATTCTGCACATTGCATCGCATTTTGCAAACCGATTTCGCAGTGTTGTTAACATATACACCCGCAGCAGTTCGCATGAACGGGGTGTGACTGTGATGTGGTGCGGAATTAGCGCAGAAACTGGTGCGAATTCCGCACCGCATCAGTGTGAACCCATGCTTAATGTACTTTTCCTTCAAGCCATGTCCATGCTTCACCAACAATCAGCTAATCAATCAGCTTTCAGTTAGTCTGACACTGGCAATTGTGCTAAATAAATTTGCTTCAGCCAAAAAAAAATCAGTTTGGCAAAGAAAAAAAAAAAAAAACCCAAACAAAGTTGATTTTTTACCTGCATGTACCGGTATTTACCATTGTCACTGCCCCAATATGGGTTTGTTGTAGTATTATAGGGTTAAATCACTATAGAACAAATTACAGGGCTTCATTTCCGTCTGGCATTATGAGCAGAACATAAACAGCGCAAGCATGTGAAGAGCAAGTCTTCTGGGACAGAAATGTTTGTTCTCCCTCGCAACTCAATCTTGTTTGTTGGCTGCAGGTGAATCAGAACATTGCTGAGTGCGTTCCAAGATCACATACAGGATGGTGCGTTAGAAACCAGACCGTCTTCAGATGAAGAAAGCTTGCCACACATAAACAGGGAAGAGCAATTATTTTTATATATATATATATGTAAAAAACATATACTATATTTATTTTTTTATTTTTATATATTTCAGGTATTTATATAGCGCCGCCAATTACGCAACGCTTTGCATATATTGTGTACATTCATATCAGTCCCTAATCCTCAAAGGGAATACAATCTGAGGTCCCTAACATACATTCATTACATACACATACTAGGGCCAATTTAGACAGGATCCAATTAACCTACCAGCATGTCTTTGGAGTGTAGGAGGAAACCGGAGTACCCGGAGGAAACCCACGGAGGCACAGAGAGAATAAGAAAACTCCAGGCAGGAGGTGCCGTGTTTGGGATTCGAACCAACGACCCCAGTACTGCCAGGTGGAAGTGCTAACCATTTACCCACTGTGTATAAATTATATTATCTATAAACTAATCATTTTATCACAACAGTTTTTTTTAGTGCAGCTTTAATACACTGGCACAAAAATTTTCTGTGCGTCAAATAATAGTTTCTGCAATGACGATGGTTAGGTTTATGTTTAGGGTTATTGGGACAGGTTGCATTCAAATCATATCTAAACCCAACATGTTGTAGCTTACCACTATTTCTTTTTCTCTTTTTTAGGGTTTTTTGTGCACATATCCAACAGATATAATAAAACACTTTTGAAATTTGCGGTTAGGCTGGATTCATACAATTCAGTCCATAGTGGATTGATTTACAGAGCAATTTTGCATTGAGCTAATGTGCCGCAACCACAAGCCAAGTGTTTGGCCCATGATTCCTGCATGTTTTCATTGATTTTAAATGGGCAAGTCTGACAGATGATGTCCCCCTATCAAACTCAACAAACCGAGTTAAACTTGTCCTGCAGCATGGGTATGATCCCTTCCTGCTGCCTTCCTGCTACCTTCATAGGCTTTTGGTTGGTGGTGAAAAAAAAAACAAGGCTAAATTACCTGCTTCACCTATCTAAACAAGGTCTACACTTCAAAAATCAATTTAAAAACGTTTTATTCTCAAGTTTAAATAAAGTTAGGAAGAGTTAGAACAGCCTTTCTCGGGTTTTTTACTTGAGAGGAACCCTTAAAACAATTTTCAGCTCTCAGGGAACCCTTACTGAGATTACTTTTTCCAAGGAAAATAAAGTCTCCTTACATTGGTGGCCATGGGAAGAATGACCCTGACTGCCGGTTCACATATATGCAGATTGGATATGGTTTGAACTGCACCCAATCCACATGACATGTGAAATACCATTGCTTCCTATGGTGCCTGTTTATATATGTCCAGTGCACTAGTGGTGCTGAGGCTTTAAAAAGAGTCCTGTACGATGTACGATGAGCAGTGCCTCCAGGTTCAGGTGCAGATTATAGGCTATTGACTTCCTTGGGAACTGTTTCTAAACTGCACATGTGTGAACAGGATAAAATCCTGAGCTAATCCTGTCCTGAACCTGATGTAAACCTGACATGAACCGCTGAACAACTCGTGTGTCAATTAGCTGTGAAACCTGAGCTTCAATCCACACCGCACATGTGTGAACCAGATCTTACAGTGGTGGTCAGAATACCATCCTAAACTAATTCACACCTGTGCGGTGCAGATTGAAGCTCAGGTTTCACAACTACAGTTGTGTCCAAAATTATTCAACCCCCCACTGAAATTGAGTGTTTTGGCCAGTTTGACATTGCTTTTGATCATTCAGTCATCTTGCTTACATTTACATTAAAGAGGCACTTGTAGGTCAGACAAATATAACATAACAGTTATAATGAAATAACCACAAATGTCTTTTCTGTGCTCACAGCATTATCAGTTTTATTCAACCCCCAAGTGACATTCAATCTTAGTACTTAGTACAGCATCCTTTTACAGTTATAACAGCTTTTAAACGTGAAGCATAGCTTGACACAAGTGTCTTGCAGCGATCTACGGGTATCTTCGCCCATTCTTCATGGGCAAAGGCCTCCAGTTCAGTCACATTCTTAGGCTTGCGCACTGCAACTGCTTTCTTTAAGTCCCACCAGAGGTTCTCAATCGGATTTAAGTCTGGTGACTGCGATGGCCACTCCAAAATGTTCCTGCCTTTCCTCTGCAACCATGCTCTAGTGGACTTGGAGGTATGCTTGGGATCATTGTCCTGTTGAAAGGTCCAACGTCTCCCCTCAGGTGTGTGACGGACTGCATCACGTTTCCATCCAATATCTCCTGGTACTGAAGAGAATTCATGGTACCTTGCACACGCTGAAGCTTCCCTGTACCTGCAGAAGCAAAACAGCCCCAAAGCATGATTGACCCTCCACCATG